AATGGGCAGCATAAGGTCCTCAGCAGGTGTCTGGGTACCACCGGCACCTGCGCCCTGCTTAGTGGGCAGGCAGGCGTTACAAGGAGCATTACCAGATGCCTGGAGGAGCCACTGCTGAGGCCATTTATCTAGGATAGTTCTGCGTATTCATAAACAGGGTATATTTTTCCATCTTCTAAGATCTTGTTCTATCTCTTTCTTTAGGGTTCTGTAGTTTTCATTGTATAAATGTTTCACCTCTTTTGTTAGGTTGATTCCCAAGTATCTTATTTTCTTTGAGGATATTGTGAATGGAGTGGTTTTTCTCATTTCCATTTCAGAAGTTTTGTTGCTGATATATAGGAATGCCGTTGATTTATGCGAGTTGATTTTATATCCTGCCACTTTGCTGAATTCATTTATTACCTCTAGCAGTTTCTTTGTAGACCCTTTTGGGTCTGTTAAATATATTATCATGTCATCCACAAATAGCAATAATTTAAGTTCTTGTTTTCCTATTTTTATGCCTTTAATTTCTTTTGTCTGTCCAATTGCTTTGGCTAGTATTTCAAGAACTAAATTGAATAGAAGTGGTGATAGAGAGCATCCCTGTCTTTTTCCATATTTTAGAGGGAATGCCTTCAGTTTTTCTCCATTTAGGATGATGGTAGCCTGAGGTTTAGCTTATATAGCTTTTACAATGTTGAGGTAAGTTCCTGTTATCCCTAGTTTTTCTAGTGTTTTGAACATAAAGGGATGCTGTACTTTGTCGAATGCTTTTTCTGCATCTATCGAGATGATCATGTATTTCTTGTCTTTAAGTCTATTGATGTGGTGAATAGCATTTATTCATTTCCGTATATTGAACCAGCCTTGCATCCCAGGGATGAATCCTACTTGATCATGATGCACTATTTTTTTTGATGTGCTTTTGTATTCGATTCACCAGGATTTTATTGAGAATTTTTGCATCCAAGTTCATTAGAGATATTGATCTGTAGTTTTCTTTCTTTGAAGTGTCTTTGTCTGATTTTGGGATCAGGGTGATGTTGGCCTCATAGAATGAATTTGGAAGAGCTCCTTCTTTTTCTATTTCTTGAAATAGCTTGAAAAATATTTGTATTAATTCTTCTTTGAAGGTTTTGTAGAACTCCGCTGTATACCCATCCCATCCAGGGCTTTTTTTGGTTGGTAGTCTTTTGATGGCTTCTTCTATTTCTTCCTTTGTTATTGGTCTGTTTAAATTGTGTGTGTCTTCCTGACTCAATCTGGGCAGATTGTATGACTTAAGAAATTTATCGATATCTTCACTATCTTCTATTTTATTGGAATATAGGGTTTC